AGGAGCCCACCTACCCAGTCAGCCAGCTAGCGAGTACAACACAACACAACAAAACAACGTTTATGTATCAGGTCCCACAGAGCTCGGTTCTCTGTGAAATCGATGTAGCGCATTGGACGCAGTTTCATGTCAGTTATCAGAGCAGGAAGAACACGCCTTCCGTAGTCGACCATTCTTGTCGACTGCTTGTTTATCTCCGCGATTCAATTATACCATCCATCCGGCTTCGTTTAACGGCGTACTGTAGTATTTGTAATTGATTATCGGAATTGGTTTTGTCTTATTGGCCCATGAAGTAATTTGTTATGATTGCTAATGATGTTAACGGCTGTGCAGTTCATTCGATTTGTTAACCAATGGGACGACGACCCAGTTCTGATTATAAGGCCTCGTTCACAAGGGCTTACTTCGAAGACGAGTTACTAGATCCAGTAGATGTTCAAGCGCTTATTTACTCGAGTCGAGTAGCCAAACTGTGGTAACTCAATCCATTAAAGTTGTCTTCGCACTAAATCCATGTGTCGTAGCCTTGATGCACATCACAACTCATGAAGTCCGGGCAGGTGAACGCCCAAACACTCTGTTTCTGCACTGCAATGTCCCACGTGCTTGTTGTAAGGCTTGTGGACAGTCACAGGGGTCACAATGCGTCATGAATATGTGCAGATTAGAAAATTTGACCAATGAAAAAGTTCTCAAGAACTCTGATCCATGGCATCAGAAAAATCTGCAACCGTGACGCGTTTTATGCAAGGACAAAAACCATTCTAACATCCTAAGGAGTGAGTCTTAGATTATTTAAAGACGCTGTGTAGTAGACTCGTAGACAGATGCAAACTTTTCAAAGTATTGTCTTCAGGGCCCACGAATCTACACGGTGCCAAAATCCAGAACAACATCATCCTCACTGCCGTGGAAAATCTTATTTAAAGACGTTTTCCTACTCCATAAGTTTTGCATCGAATAGTGGCATGGTTACGAACGATGAACTGGAAAATGCTGAAGGACGGATACACGAGTTATTACAAGGAAACGCACACTATTTTGGAGGAGGGAATTAAGGGGCAAGAAATGGGACAGTGTCTACTTTTCGCAGTATTTTTATTATGAACTACTTTGCCCTTCCCTGGTTTTACAAAGAGAACCCCAATTTCTTTTTAAAAAAGAACATGGATTTGATTCAAGTGTATTCCCACTTCATCTGGTCACGTCATTGAACAGAGTAACTTTCAGTGACTCTAAAGACAATTACTAGCCAGTTTAAACCAATATATATATATATATAGCAAGCTCTGTCACCAATAGTTTTTGTATGAGAATTATCTGAGAATGAGCGTGTCGAGGGTGATAACACCTTGTGAGATTTCAGGTTCTCAAGACGCCAAACATGTCTTCTGGGATGTTCGGAGCAAGCGCCTCTTAAACGTCCCAACATCCCCCGAAGACAGTGATCTTCATCGTCCATTAGGTTTAATTGCCCAATTAAGTAAACACGCAGTTATCATGTACTGATAATTACTGCATGAGAGAGACTGCTGACTGGCGTGACCAGGTTCTGGGGTCTGGGGCGTAGGCGATAGTCGTTTCAGGGGTACAACGAGGGGCGGGAGGAGCTGGGATTCGATTCGAACGGCTACCTGCAACATGCGATAACACTTGGAACACAAACAGAATCGAACCCCCTAATGGTATTAGAATAATGCCACTAACATTATACCACCTGCAACAAGCTACCCGCATGACTCTGCGACTGAGAAGCCAACAGGTTTTGTTGAAGACGGAAGGAGGGACGAAGGTGCCTGAATGATTTATTGCTTTTACGAACGTATCTTAGTGTCATCTTAAGAATTAATAACGGAAATCGTAGTTTATTTAGAATCGTTCCCTTAACGCGTGAGATGAAAAAGAATGTTAATAATGACTAATCGGACATGTGGGCTGGACGGTTGAAGTGATCTAATTTAATTATGCGTCTACAGATTAAAGGAAGTTAAATACCCTAAAAGTTGTGCAGTCCAGGAGATTAGACTGATTTCTTTATGGGGCTATCCCCGGTACACTGAGCGCGTTTCTCGTTCAGCGTGTCATTTGTCATTGAAGTCTAGAATGTATTTCTATAGGTTTAACAAACATTCACTAAACGCGGTAATAGTACTGAGATTTTCTTTTGCGATGTTATTGTTTTCATGGAGTGATACGTGACTTGTGTCGGGGAAACCTTGTACATTGTTGACGCTGAGTCAGGCAGTTCCAACCGGGAAGTGAGAGTTGTGTTCAACTTCACCACTGAACGCACTGTACTTTTTCATATATATATATACAGAGTTTTCGTAATCATAAACTTCTACCAGACTACAGTGCACTAAAACCCAGAAGACAGCCATCTTCGTACTCGCAGCCGGGATAACTTGAAATGCAATAATGATAATACAATGTCGTGGCCCACTAAAAGTGACATTTCATCGGGAAATGTGGTCGAAATAAATAAATATAATATTAATCATAAAGGAAGCAACTTAATGTTCAAATAAATACCTACAAATTACTTAGCGTAAATAAAGTAAGGTTAGAATATGAGACACGTCCTTAAATGACGCAAGAATCGATCAATCAATCGACTAATAAACCAATCAAGGATATGAAATGTTCGAACTGGTGAATATGTGAAGAAATCCGTCTAAAGCAAGATATTAGAGGGATAAAATACCATAATCACATTGAATTAAATTTTATATTCATAACAGCAGAAACACTGAATTATATCATACGCTAACGGAAGGAACATGAATGTAACCCAACAGCAAACAATATTTACCTTAGATTACCTTCCAAGTTAACGACAATCACAGATTTATTCTGTATTCCCCTTATATTTGTTAGTTAAATAATACGTTGCAACCGAACAACGAACTTTCCTTTCGTCGTACATCAAAGATTTTGGTTAAAGTGTCACATTTCTTTGTTGGTAGGAAATAATAAAAGCCCGTCTTATAAATAACTGTTTTCTCTCTCTATTAAATATCCCTAATGTAATATTTATCTTTTTTGTGTAACACATCCGAGTGTTTAATTGAGAAACGTCTCACTGTTCCGATATCGGTAATGGGGCCACGACATATTCGAATACATACATGGTTTTATGTGTTGATAACGAAACAGTGAAGCATCCGAAAACATTATTTTTCAAAACAAAATACAATGTAATTTTTACACACATTTCAGGAACACAGACATTCCTTACAACAAGCTAATGTTTTTAGCAAAGTAGGTAGTTTCTAAATTAAAGCTTTATATATATACTTGCTGGAAGATCGCTTAATAAGCAAATACACAGTCGCTAATGACTGTAAAAGCACAGTAGAACAGCATTTAATATCATTCAACTTGTGTTGAATCTATGACAACAAGGAACTTAAAGTTGTGTACAGAACTTCTGAAATTGGACCTAACACTTAAAAGAACAACGTACTTTTAATTTAAATATAAGGGTGACAATCGATTATGTTATAAAACGCTGCATAAGAACGGTACAAACAATTGAACCGTTTCATTGCTAAATTTTATTTAGCAAAAATTGTCAATTTAGTTTCTAAAAATCCATCGCAACTTCGACATGACTTTTGTTGATAAAGAGTCACAAATTACTCGGCTTAAGGAACAAAACCACAGCAGAAGTT